CAACTTTAAGACTTGTGGACTTCAACTCCCAGAGTTCCTCAGCCAGCTTTGCTGGCTGAGGAACTCTGGGAGTTGAAGTCCACAAGTCTTAAAGTTGCCAAGGTTGGACACCCCTGGTTTAAACGTTCTAAACAAACAAATGGGGGGGGGGGAGTTTGATTATTTATTACATTTATATGTCACCCACCTCAGTCTGCAAGGCTACTCAGGAGATGCAGCCAGGTTTAGGGAAGAAGGCCATCTTAGCAGACTAAGCAGGACATCCCCACCCAGCTGACCAACAGGCATCTCAAAGAAGAGACAGTCCCTCTTGATTTTTTCCATTTTATTTTCCACAAAAGTTTGCTCTGAGGCATAATACTGTCACCGTGACACTGAGCGCAGCCATCCTCAGCAATGCCCCACCAGGAAACAGCAGCACCCCCACTCTGAAAAAGCACAGTGTGTTGGACGATGGCAGCTGCTTGAGTCGCTAACAGTGCTCACACACACACACACACACACACACACAGCCACACAATGTTGCCCATCTCCTGGCTGAGACCAGCGGGGAGAGTTTTAAATAAGAAAACGAGATCCGTGTTTCTCAACGTTGGCGACCATGGCTGGCTGGGGAATTTGGAGAGTTACAAGTTGTCCAGGTTAGGAAACACATGGTCTAAATGCTTCCTATTGGCTGGAACACACACACACACACTCATCTGCAACACTGACACCCCCTCGCTTCGGAAAAGGAGTTGGGGGGTCTGTTCCCCCCCACCTTTTCACGATCTGGCCCTCACCTAAAGATACCCCCCGAGGGGCAGCCAGATCATCGAGGCATAGTCCTCATGCTAACATCGAAGTTTATATACATTATTCACATCCTTTGTTACCAAGCCAGTTAAATAACTATGTGGTTATATAGTGTTGAAGATGAGCTATGGAGATGGGGGTCAGTCTGATAAGGTGCTTGTTAAAAAAATAATACTAGTCATAAAATGAGGACAGGAAGAAGGGTGAGTCCACAGGGCTGGCACCCCAGCCTGGCTCCTTGCGTTGCCCTCAAGTCCATAGGAGGAGCAGAATTCGCCCTGGGTGATCGTCTTCCCATCTAACGTAGCCTGGAGTTGGCCCACTGCTGCACTCGTCCTTTGGCGTCCCCATCTACAGAACCTCTGCAGGAGGGAAAAAAGGAAAAGAAAAATAAAGAGACTTGGAGGAGCAAAAATGCTCCAGACAGGGCACGGTTCTGACCCACCCAAGCGTAAGACAGGACTAAAGGCAGGTAGTTCTCCAGTTACAAGCACCATCGAGCAATTTCTGTTGCTCAGTGAAACATTTCTTAAGTGAGTTTGCCCCATTTTATGACCTTTCTTGCCCCTGTTGTTAAGTGAAACATGTTGCATTTGTTAAATTAGTAACAGGGTTGCTAAATGAATCTGTCTTCCCCATTGGTTTTGTTTGTCAGAAGGTCACAAAAGCGGATCGCATGACCCCAGGACATTGCAACCGTCATAAATGTGAACCAGTTGCCAAGCATCGAAATTTTTTTTTTTTTGGGAAAAAAGTTTTTTTATTTCTATAACAAACAAAACAACAAATAAAATCTTAATTATACAGTGTGTCATTTTGGTACATATGTCGTGTGCACAATATTTATAAACCTTTCCTCTTACATTTGCATTCATATTATATCCTAATCAACATTCTATATCATATTGTATCATTACTATATTATCATTAAAGTTTTTATTTCAATTCCAGGCTATCTTTAAGAATAAATCTCAACTGTTACTAAATTATACTCATATTATAACTTATTCAAAAATAATCAATTACAATATATCATTACTATTGCAATATACTTCAAATTCTTACTCTTCTTTCTAGCCATTCATATAATAAACCCCAAATCTTGTAATATTCATTTTCTTCTTGCTCTCTAACTGCGAATGTTAATCTACTCATTTCTGCACATTCCATTATTTTCTTAATCATTTCCTCCTCCATCAGAATTTTCTCATTTTTCCAGTTTTGAGCAAGCCTCTGAATTTTGATCACATGACCAGGACATCACAGGACATTGCAATAGTGGTAAGTGTGTCACTTTTTTCAAGTGCCGTTGTAACTTTGAACGGTCACTAAATGAACTGTTGTAAGTCGAGGACTAGCAAAGCTGACACAACTAGTCCTCGCCTTATGATCCCAATGGAGCTCTAAATGTCCGTTGCCAAGCAAGGCAAGTTGTTAAGTGAGTAGTGTCCCATTTCCCCATTTTATTACCTTTTTGCAATGATTGTTTAAGCGTATGTTTGGACATTAAGTGAATCTGGCTTCCCACATTGAGTATGCTTTGCCAGAAGATCCCTAGGAAGGTTGCAAATTACATTCTCGGGACTCTGGGACCTTGGAACCGTTGCAAATACATGCCAGTTGCAAAGTTTGATGATGTGTGAACTATGGGGGATGCTGGAATGGTCCTAAGTGTGAGAACGGGTCATAAGTCACTTTTTTTCAATGCTGTTTTAACTATGAATGGTCATTAAGCCAATGGTTGTAAGTCGAGGATGAACCTGTAATCCCTTTTCTGCCCAGATTGGCATGTCTGTTGTTTTCACTCTATTTCTTCCCAAGAAGGAAGCCAAAGGCTCTTCGTCTGTACATTGATCCAGTGAAGGTCTTGGGGGGTGGGGGCAGCAGGTAGCCCCACCCATGCCATAAAAGGCAGACTACTATGAAGACCAAAGCAGACCACTCCCCTCTTGTGCATTTGCTCCGCCTTGCTCACCAGCCTGCTGGCACTTCCAAGCACCGGATGTGTGGAACTGAATCTGGTTTATTCATTGGTGAGATTGATACCCCAAAGCTTTCCTCGAGAATATCCAAGTGGCATTCCTGGAACCCCTTTCCCCTGTGTTTCTTGACCCCATCACCTTTGAGATGCAACTGGGACCCAATCTGTGGGCCTGCGAGATGTGAACCAGCTTTTAGCCTCTCTCTTTATTCTAGCTGGGCACCTGAACCACAGAATATAAAACCACAGAATGTACAGAACCACTAAGGAAACCACCTTGCAATTCCCCCTAGCTGAATTCTTTACCGTTTCACACAGAACCTTATCTTGTCAGACTCTACTGTAGACTCTACTATCTACACCTACAAGCAGGATCCCCAAACGTGGCAACTTTAAGACTTGTGGACTTCAACTCCCAGAATTCTCCAGTCCACAAGTCTTAAAGTTGCCAGGTTTGGAGACCAGGGGTGGGATTCTACCAGTTCGGACCAGTTCTATAGAACGGGTTGTTATGATTTTGTGCAGTTCGGAGAACCGGCAAATCGTGCCACTGGCTGGCCCCTCCCCTCCTGTCGGATTTCTTGCTTTCTAGCTAATTTAAATCACTGTTGTACTGCTTTGCCTTCACCCAAAAGGCTTCCTTGAGGCCCAGTCAGGAGTGGTATTCAGGAGGTTGGAGGGTGAGGGAGAAGTGACCTGAGAGCAGAGCTAAACCTTCCTTAGGACTGAAACTTCTATTTTTCAGTGCAGACTCAGGCAGCAGATTGCAGAAAGGTAGATCTGGGAGTGAATCTGTGATTCTGCGAGCAACTCAAGCTGCTCTGCCTGATTTTGGGTAAAAGTTGCTCTCTTTTTTATATACAGTATAAAAAATTCAATATTTACATAAATATTTACAATATTTACATACATGCCACGCCCACCCAGTCACATGACCACCAAGCCACCCCCGTCAGCAAGCCACACCCACCCAGTCACATGACCACCAAGCCACATCCACAAATTAGGCCATGCCCACAGAACCGGTTGTCCAGAAATTTGAATCCCACCCCTGTTGGAGACCTCTGACCTACAATACACAGCCTGTCTTTGACTTGCAGTCCTTCATTTAGTGACCATCGAAGTTAAAACTGCACTGAGAAAAATGGTCCTAGCACTTACCACTGCAGCATCCCCACGATCACTTGTGGTCACACCATCAAAATTCAGGTGTTTGGGCAACCTGCATGTATTTACAACCTCCCGGGGGGGGGGGGGGTTTGGTGGGATCCCGTGATCACCATTTGCAACCTTTCCAGCCAGCTTCTGACAAACAAGTCAAGGCGAAAGCCGGATTCACTTAAGGACTGTGTGATTCATTTAACAACTGCTTAAAATTTGCTACTAAAAGGTTGTAAATTCTGATCCCAATGGTGGCTGTAACGTCAAGGAGTTCTGTGGTCTGTGAACTGTTAGGGAGGGCCTGTCCTCACCCGCTTTCTCTCACACATGATATCTGGGCTGAGTTGCCTCTTGACTCCTCTGGAACGAAGCCCCTCCCTCCTGGGAGTCTACATTCCATCCGAGGCAGAAGATGCTCCTTGGTGGGGGAACGGAGGGTACCTTACCTGTGACCTGGGGCGCCTTGGCCACTGCGTTGTTGAGGAAGGGCTCCTTGTTGGCAAAAGGCAGGATGGGCTCATTGGCCATGCTTAGCCCGGACCCTGCAGGGTGCTCCCGTGCACCAGGCCCCTGGGGAGAGGGGAAGCCATTCTCATGCTTGCTGGACTGCAGGCCGTTCACCAGGGCCAGGGTGGGGTTGATGGGAGAGCTGCAGCGGAAAGAGGTGGGAGGAGTGTGAAGTCACGGCGTCACAAGCTTCCCTCAAGGAGATGGGAAGGAAGACAAAGGTGGCCAGAAGGGAGGACATCCTGGAGAGCAGATCTTTGCAGGTATACACACACAACACACACACACACAACACAAACTGTCGTTTTAGCCCCAAGTGTTCTCCCCTGCACTAGCATGAAGGACTTTTGAGCTGGACTTGGGATGATAGGAACAAGGAGGGGAAGGAGGGAAGAAGCCATTCAAGAGGGATTTGGAGCAAGCAAGTCACACTCTCCGGAGACAGAAAGGAGGGTTCCAAGGCCAAACCATCAATCATGCCCATACACAATCAAGGGACAAAACTATTGTTGAAATTTGGCCATGGCTACTAGTACAGGTGCTGCACTGGGCCGTGTTTCTGGGTGCAATCCAAAGTGCTGGCTGGCACCTTTAAAGCCCCGCCTGGCCTGGGATTGGGTTACCTGAAGGACCGTCTTCTCCTGAGAGGTTCTACCTGTCCAATTCTGCCTAGTAGATTGAGGATGCTATGGCTTCTGTCAACTGGCAGGCACCCAGGAGACATGCCTCCTTGGCAGTAGCCCCTGCCCTTTGGAACGTTCCTCCTTTGGTGCTCAGGATAGCCCAGACCCTTTTAGCCCTTGGTAAAGCTTTCAAGATCCTAACCTTTAAAGAGTAGATTAGGGATCTCCAAGGAAGGAAGGAAGGAAGGAAGGAAGGAAGGAAGGAAGGAAGGAAGGAAGGAAGGAAGGAAGGAAGGAAGGAAGGAAGGAAAAGTGAAAGACAGTTACTGATGGGAATTGTAGTCCAATATATCTGTAAGACAGGGGTCCCCAAACTTGGCAACTTTAAGACTTGTGGACTTCAACTTCCAGAATTCCTCAGCCAGCCAAGAATTCAGGAAGTTGAAATCCACAAGTCTTAACGTTGCCAACTTTGGAGACCCCTGGATTAGATGATGGCACATTAGCATGGACTAGAACTAGGTTTTTGTTATTTTTAATGTTTTATGTTTTAACTGGCTGAGTTTTACAGATTTTAAAACGATTATAGGTGTGTTTTAATTTTTGATTGGGAGTCTCTCCAAGTTGGTTGAAAGATGGGTGGCTATATCATGTTTTTAAGTACATAAGTAAAATCAGACGATGTGGTCCTGGAAATACTGGTGGGGAGGGGGCATTATCTGGTTGCACTGTTAATTTTTATGTCTTATGATCATTTTCAGCTGCCTATATATATTTATAATCTGTAAATGTTCTTGCATTTTTATGGTTTTAATTAGTGTGATATTGTTTGCCGCCCAAAGTCAATTGGATTGAGATACTATACAAATTGAAGGGTTGGTGGGATGGTTGGATGGAGATGTTAGATATATGATAGACAACTCAAGTTCTTGTATTCCAGGAAGAGTTGGTAATGTGGCCCCTGCAGCATCAGAGGCTCACTGTAACCCTGATTTCAGCCATCTCCCACCTGAGATATTGCAAAAGTTTGGATATTTTCATAAGAGTGAGAGCACTAAAAGCCTTTAGAGTTTTGGAGCATTTTGTTTGCCTGTTTGGGTGCTCAGCACCTGAGAAGATTGCTTTTCCCTGAATAATCCAAGTGAGATGTTTGCGGTTTCCCAAGATTAAGAGGTAAGATTGAAAAACAAGCTGAAAGGCAGAAGAAACAGAAAAACGGAATTGGAGAAGGAAATAATATGGCCCCGATAAAAATCAGCAGGATAAAGTTTCCGACAAAGTTCCTTGTGGAAGGGAACACTCAAGTTTTATCCCATTCTCATCCCAGAGTATTCCAAAAATGTGAAGAAGCTGCACTACCCTTGGAATGGAGCCAAATGTGAGCCTGTCCATATGCTTTTTTCAGGACACAAATAATGCTTCTGTTTTTGAAGCAGCTCCATCACATCCACTCATACACACTTCAAGCCATGTTTCTGAACTGCAACTTGGAAGATATCTGGATGTCAACTCCCAGAATTGCCACCACTTGGCTGATGTGAAGTCCTCACATCTTGCCAAGGTTGAAAAACACTCTAGATCAGGGGTCTCAAACACAATTTACCTGGGGGCCGCTGGAGGCAGAGTCTGGGTGAGGCTGGGCCGCACATAGAAGTGTTTAGCCAGCTAGCGACGCATGGAGAACGCACTAATATTATAACTTTCATATCACGGTGGGGGCCATAGGATATCATCCTGCGGGCCGCAATTGGCCCGCGGGCCGCGAGAATGAGACCTCTGCTCTAGATAATTTGGCTGATCTTGGAAAAAAGGCTCATCTGGTTGGATCTGATTTGTAACTGGATGGAGGAATACCAGAAAAACCCATGGCATTCCAGAAGTTCTAGCTTTAGTAGTTCCTTCTTTATTATTGACAAGAAAACCATGTGAAGCTCCACTTGAGGGAAACATTTATCTTTCTATACCAGAGCTATCAAACTCCCAGCCCACGGGCCAGATGTATCATGCGCTGGCCACACCCACACCCAGTTTAACGAAGGGAGAAAAAGTCCTGATACGTCATGTGACGCTGCCATGATAACACGAGTTTGACACCCCTGTTCTATACTAACAAGGGAATTCTGGGAAAGTGTCTGCCATGCCATTCCTGTAATGTTCTGACCTGCTTTTCCAACTCTTTATATACCTGTGCTGTATGCCCTCTGGACTCAGCCCTTTGCGACTGGCCGGACTTGAGGGTTGCATCTCTGGCAGCTCTTCTTCCTTGGGTAGACTCCCAGGGTATTTCTTGCCATCTGAAAATGGAAGAAAATCTTCTATTAAGCACCCTAGAGCAGGGGTCCCCAACCCCCGATCCGTGGACTGGCAATGGTCCGCGGCATGCCAGAAATCGGTCTACGCAAACCAGCAAAGCCCCATCCACGGGATGCAGCCAGCACGCAAAACCAGGCCCTCTCCGGTCCATGGAAAAACCTCTCTCCACAGAACTGGTGCCTGGTGCCCAAAAGGTTGGGGGCCTCTGAATCCTAGAACCTCCTCCTCCTACCCACTCCCCCCAAAAGCTGGATTTCTCAATCGGATCCAAAATGAATCTGTATTCATCCACGGTGAGTCTAGGAGCAGAGTTCATTTATAAATGAGAGAAACAGGCTCACAAAAGTATAGGTAGTCCTCAATATACAACCACAATTAGGACCAGAATTTCCATTGCTTAGCCGTTGTTAACCGAGTCACGGCTGATTTATTTTTTTGCCGTAGTTGTTAAGTGAAACATTGATGTTGTTAAATGACTGAGACAGCCATTAAGCGAATCTGGCTTTCCCGTTAACTTTGCTTGTTGGAAGCCAGCTGAGAAGGTCACAAATGGTGACTTCCGGGATGCTGCAAATCCTCGTAAATATATGTTGGTTGCCAAGCACCTAATTTTGAACATGTGATCGTGGAAATGCTGTGATGGTCATAAGTGGGAGGACCGGTTGTAAATCAACTTTTTTCAATATTGTTGCAACTTCAGATGGTTGCTAAATGAACGGTTCTAAGTTGAGGACAACCTGCAATCAAATTTCATAACAAGTCTATTTAAAGATGCAGAAAGGGATTCTCACCTGGGCCCATTCCACCCTCTTGTTTCTCTTCCTTGCCATTCACCATCTTCTTGTCCTCTTTCTTCTGCAAAAAAAAAAAAAGAAAAAAAGGAGTGGGAGATATATTAAGCGAGAAGGAATCAGGTCTTCAAACAGTATGTTGGCAGAAGAAGCGCCCATTCTCGCTATCTTCCCCTGGAAGGAAGGAAGGCTCATGGCAGAAAATGTCCCAGGATAATGTTGCAAGATCCAGTCTGGGTTGGTCACTGTGACCAGAGATTCTGTTTTTTGACCTCGGAAAATTTCTCTCTCCTGGAACTTTGCTTCGGATTACATCAATCTCAGAAAAGTTAATCCTCTGGTCCTGGTGACCGATCCAGAGTGGAAGGAAAACTGTCCACTTTTTCTGGGCATCGGTGAAAGCACCCAAGATGCGGGGGGTTCCAGAGATCCAAGGCTGCCCTATCCTAAGAGGGACACAGCAGAGATGCTAAGTGGCGGATCCAAAAAAAACCCTGTGGAGCAGCTGTGCATAAATGCTGAAGAGACATGGAAGGCTGAATTGTGCTCCCGTTCCTTCAGGGCTGCTATCTGCTATCTCTTCTGGAGGCATCACCCTATCTAAGGCCAGTTCACGGTCCTCTCATCGGCCAGAAGAGACCAGGAAAATCAATCACCCTTGCATCAGCTCCCTCTGCTTTTCGCGTCCGTTTCATGATCTCTTCCAGACGCTGCAAGGAGAAAAAGAAAAGATGAAAAAAGGTGGTCACAAGATATCCCTTTTCAACAGCAAAGTTTTCCTGTCTCATCGTAATTTATAAAACGGTGAGAATATTTGGGGCATTATTTGGATATTTTGTTGTGGGGTTAAGGATGCGAGACCAGGGGTCTCCAACCTTGGCAACTTTAAGACTGATGGACTTCAACTCCCAGAGTTCCTCAGACAGCAAAGCTTAAAGTTGTCATGGTAGAAGACCCCTGTGCTGGACCATTCTGTACATTTTTCAAATCACAAAGGTTCACCCAGGGAAAATGTAGTGGAGATCTCTTCCAAACCTTCAGAATATCCATTGCCAAGCAAGATGGTTGTTAAGTGAATCGCACCCAACTGTATGACCTTTTTGCCAGGGTTGTTAAGTGTAGCACTGCAGTTGCTAAGTGAATCTGTAAGGCATCCAGAAAGTATCCATGATATCAATCACTCAGAGACATATTCTCTCCAGTTGATTGATCCATGATATCAATCACTCCGAGATATTCTCTCCAGTTGATTTATTTAGGAACAGATCTGGTATGTCTAAGGCAATTTCCTAAAGTGAAAGTATTTTTGCACGTTACACAGAATCCACCTCTCTCTCCTCCCACTTCTACACTTCATAAATCACGAGAACCAATGAACTGCAACTGGAATTCCTTAGTACGACATACAGAATAACCTTGAACTTTTCAACTCCTCCACCCACCCCCCTTCATTAAATGTGGCAGCTGAATTTCAAAGCTGACAGAATCATGAGATCATTTAGCAACTCTGGCTTTTCCCGTTGACTTTGCTAGTCAGAAGCCAGTTGGGGAAGTTGCAAATGGAGACCCCAGAACACTGCAACGATTGTAATTAGATGCCGGTTGCGAAGCGCTTGAATTTTGATCACATGACTGTGGGAATGCTACACCAATGCTCACCTTTGGGGTGGGCTTTAACTGTGCTTGCCAATAGAAGTTGTATTTAACCAAAGATGTCATGGTTTTCCAATTGCAACTCTTTAAAATCCAGGGGTTCAGGCCCCAACAGCCAGACCCACTCGTGTTGAGTACAGATAGTCCTCGTCTTAAGACCCACAATTGAGCCCAATGTTCATGTTGCTAAGCAAGAAATTTGTTAAGTGAGCTGTGCCCCGTTTTATGACCTTTCTTGCCCCCGTGGTTAGGTGAATCGCTGCAGTTGTTAAGTCAGTCGCATGGTTGTTTAAGTGAAGGTTGTTTCCCCGTTGACTTTGCTTGTCAGAAGGTCACAAAAGGGGACCACTCTGGGACACGGCGACCATCATAAATACGAGTTGGTTGCCAAGCATCTGAATTTTGATCATGTGACCACGGGGACACTGCCGCGGTCGTAAGTGTGAAAAATGATAATAGGTCACGTTTTTCAGTGATGTTGTAACTTTGAATGGTCATTAAACGAACTGTTGTACGTCTGTACCTGTAACCTGTAAACTACTTTATCGCTTTGTGTCTATTTCACAGGAATCTTCTTAGAGTGGCAGTTTGCCCCCCCCCCCCCAGGGGAAAGACTAGACAAGTCTAATAAGACAAGCCTTCAAGGGAGGGTCAGATCTTGTGTCTTGTGTTTACCTAAACAACTCCAAACTATTCCTCATTTGACCTCTCCTCCTGACTGGGATGGTTGCTCTCCAACACAGCGGCTAATGTAAGCTGGCCTGCTTGCTTGGGAAGCAAATCCCCAAGGGGCCCTTTTCCTATACAGAATAAAGCTACTATAGAGATGACTACATCTTGCATGATTAATTGGCGCAGGGGCAACCAACCAGGGATTCTGGGGGGCATCCCTCTTACCTTCTTCCTCTCCAGCCGTTCCTGTTCTTCTTTCTGGAAATGTTTCTCTCGTTCCACTCGTTGGCGTTCAGCCTCTTCCCGGGCCCGAGCCTCAGCTTCCTCCTTCTGCAAGGAAGGAGAGGAGAGGTGAGCAGCTGCTGCGAAAAAAGAAGGATTCCCCCCACCCCCGTTTCCAGCTGCTTGCAGAAGGACCAAGGACAGCAAGTGAGGAATGTGGGGTTTTCCAAGTCGGACCCCCCCCCCAAAAAAAAACCGAGAGAAAAAAGGCAGTTCCTCTTGCCAGACAATTGGAAAATTCAGAGCTCCATCCCTAATCCTTTTCAGCAGAACAGGTAGTCCTTGTTTAGCGACCGCCTCATTTAGTGACTGAACGTTATGTTAGGACCAACCCCGCTAACTCGCAACCCACCTGTTTCTGCAGCCGTTCTTGTTCCTCCTGCTCTGCCCGGGCCCGTTCCTGGGCTTCCTGCTCCTCCTGGCGGGCCAGCTCCTCCTCCTGCCTAGCCAGCTCAACCTGCTGCTGCAGGCGGTCTCTGGCCTCTTGCTGAGCCCGCTCCTCCGCTTGGCGCCTGCCGGAGGGCCCAGAGTCAATGTTGGAAGCATAAACCACGAAAAAGAAAGAATGGAAAGCAGCCGCTAAGGGCGTTTTAGCATGCCCCGGAAGCAATAGGCTTGCATCCCTGCTCATGCAAAGAGAAAATAAAAACTCTGCACTTGTTCAATGTCACCCTCTCATTCTATGCGTTCTAGGTTAATTATCTCATCCTTTAATTCTCTAGGAGACAAGACACTTGACCTAGAATGAGATTTTGGCTGGTCACTTGAAGGCTCATTGTGCCCAACTCTCCAGAAAAGAAAAATAACATTCTCCTCCATGAGGTCTAGAAACCTTGCTTCAGCTCCACTGGAAAACTCACCGCTCCTGCTCCTCTTGCTCCTTCCGCTCCTGCTCCTCCCTCTCCCGCTGTTCCCGTGCTTGCCGCCGTTTCTCAGACAGCAATCTAGCAGCTTCTTCTCGGTCTGTGGTGCCAGCCATCGGTTTGCCTGGCGTTGAGGGAGGAGGTGGAGGCATCGGGCTGGCAGTCCCAGAGGGGGCAGTGACTTCTATAGGAAGCCAAGCTTAGAGTTAGACCACTTCCCCCAGAAGGAGCCTCCTCACCTGCCCGCCAGCGTCTCCACCCAGTCATCACATTCATAATGGGACGGAAGATGGAGCTTGACCTGATTGTAATGAGGCTCTGGGGTGGCTAAGCCTGGAGACTGCTTGTTCAGTGGTTTTGGATAGTCCCCTTGGCTGCATTCACACAATGCTCTTAAGCTGAGGCTAAACTAACCAAGAGGGCATGCTTTACCTAACAGGAGGGGCAAAAAAAATAAATTAACCAAGGTTAGCATTATCCAAGCTAGTCCCAAAGGTGTCAGGATTCCCACAGTTACTCCAAGCCTTGAGCCCCACTCCCAAAACTAAAAAAGATTTATTTGAAGTTAATATTCTACGTCCAGCATTTACCTGGGCATAGCCAACTCTGAGATATGTAATTCACTGTCACCCTTGAACCTGCTTTTCCCCCACCCCACCCCTCTAGGTGTATCATCCAACAAAAAAACATCCATAGCCAAGAGTCATCAATCATGCTCTCCAATTAGGCAGAAGCTTCAGTCATCTAATCAGTCTTTGAAGAAAATATGAATGGAATGTACTTTCGATTCCACACTGCTCTCTGCTCTTTCAAACTCCCCCCACTTCTTTCTGTTGTCAACTATAAAACGTGTATACAAAATGTTTCATGAGTTGACAAAAGCTGCTTTTTCAAGAGGCCACTGGACTTTCTGGTTTTTCGTTGAAGACATTTCGCTTCTCATCCAAGACGCTTCTTCAGCTCTGGATGAGAAGTGAAACGTCTTCAAAGAAAAACCAGAACGTTTTTTCTTTCAAGCTTCAAGCTGCCTCTTGAAAAAGCACCTTTGGGACAACCATGATCTGGATGACTGAGACTCTCCAAGCTAGACAAAGGCATCTGAGCTTCACCTGAGATAGTTTAGGAAGCTGTCTGCATGCAGTCCATCTCAGCTTACTTTGCAGAGTGGATATTATAATGATGTCCCTATGAGACAGGCCAGGTTGGGAAACAGACCCTATAAGGACTATTGAAATTTGATTATGACATGATATAATAACAGTATCCTGCCAGTTTCCCTCTCGCCTTTTATGGAAAATCTATGAGCTGTTATTTTGAGTTTCTTCCTTACACTTCCTCTTTTCTCAGGATTGAGATTTCATTCACTGTCTCTCTTGCATTCCTTCCTATCTTTGCTTCCTTCTCCATGTAAAGTTGGAAACTTCCATCCTTGCTTTGAGCAATCAGAGGAAAGGTAGAATGTAACATGCTTTTTTTCCTTCCTTTTTATGCTTTTGAATCATGCCCATATTAGGATTGTAATATCCCAGTTTAGCTTTCTATCCGCCCTCTGAATATGGCTGTCCTCGACATATGACCATTATAGAGCCTGCCCATTATGGTCATGTGTTGTGAAAATCATAAACTGAGTCCATCTTGTGACTGACCCAGTTCTATGACATTTTTGTGGTGGTCATTAAGCAAATCACCACGGTCGTTAAATGAATCTACGATCATTAAGCAAACCAGTGGTTCACTATGGGTACAGTTCTGCAGAAAACGGAAAGGTCCAGGTTTAAGGGAAATTGTTGTAAAACGCGGTCACATGACTACAGGACACTGTAAACAATTGTAAATGTAGCCGTGTTGCTGAAGATGTTGAATTTGGGTTGTAAATCTCCTTTTAGGGGCTGGTTGTAACTCTGAATGGTTGCAAGTCAAGGACTACCTATATACATTTTCAAAATTCAATGATTAATTCTTTAATTTTCGGCTCTATGCCTTCTTTTATTTGACTGCATTAGCCTTGGCTGCAATTCAGGGTTAACTAAGAGCAATTATGGCCCACCTGCTGGTGTTTCACTGTTAACTGCTGCCTTCAAGCTGTCCTCCAGGGCTGGAGAAGCTGCCCCACGTTCCTTCGGTTCATTCTTGCATTCACGGGCCTTTGGTTGGCCCTCGGGCTCCCTGCGAACTCGCCTCTTGGGTGAAGACTGGGCACTGCGAGCCAGGCTTGACCGATGCGAAGTGCTGGGTCCTGGGCTTGACGAGGCTGGGCGCTGTTTGGCCACAGCTGGCAAGGCTGGCTTGGACTTGGGGCTTGGGCTGCCAAAGGGAAGCATAGAGGAGCTGGCATTAGAGACAAGGTGGGGGAAACAGCCAGTCCCATTCTGGAGACCCTTCCCAGAGCAGAAGTGGACAAGAGAACTCTCCAATGATATGATTTCCAAGGAGAACTCATGCCCAGAATCTAACATCATGCCAGCAGGAACTACATGCTGCAAAAAAAAAAACAACCACCTGAAATCCTGTTAAAATTTGCAGTTATCCATTTCAACCTTTCCCAACCAGTTGAATCCCACATTCTGGCTGTGCAAACTCCTAGCTTCATTTGCAAAAGGTGCTTCAGAGCCTGGAGACATGTGAATCTACTGTCCTGCAACCCGAGGTTGCTTTCACAGCCCAGGATGCAACAAAGCATCTTTTCTCAATTATGTCCAAAAACTCAGAATTATTGGAATGACTCCCTTATTGGAACTGTAAATTTCGACGACTCCTGTGACAGATTGTACAAAGTGGAATTATCATCCTAATAGGGAGGGTTATGAGGTTAGGGGGAAAAAAGAGCATTATTGTCAACAGAGGCATTCTTGGCAGGCAGCTTCATCCATATAAGGCATGGCCACCATCTTGAATTTTGATACATGGATTGGAATGGAATGGAACAGAATTGGTTCTATTGGTTTAGTCATTTGATTACATTCAAAGTATAAAACTAATATAAATATATAAGTAGATGCAAAGAAAACAATAGGATGTGTTCATAAGCAAGCCATCCCCCTTACAATTAACTCCAATCTTATCTAAATATTCTGTCCTCTTCAAAATGATCTTTGATATACATCTCCCATAATCAGACATGATTGCAAAGTTGGTTTCCCAAAGCCCGTTTAGTCAGTGCTAAATTAATTCTGTACCTCGTCAAGATCCTTGTGACTTCTATGACACTGTAATAAAGGTATACTATGATATATAATGTTGAACAGGTTATAATATGAATGTAAATTCAATAAGAAATGTATACAAATATTATGTGCACAAGATGTATGCACCCAGTCGACACACTGTATAACTGAAAGATGGTTTTGTTGTTTTTGTTATAAAAATAAAAAAACTATAATAACAATAACAATAATAATAAAAATAATCTTTGTGACTTCTTACCTGCCTTCGGGTACATGCAGCTGACGCGCCTGGCCGGAAGGCGTAGAATGGCGTTTGCGGAGGGCTAAGGCACTCTTTTCTTGGGCGTTTTCTCGATCCTTGTCTTTCTTTTCTTTCTTTTTCTGATGCTGAGAATAAGAGAAGACAGAATCATAAAGCAGAACCCACTTCCATGGCGGAGAAGCAGTTCTCCAGAACTCTGGGACAAATCAATTCACAGTAACCTCATCTTCAAAGCAGGGGGTTGTTGAAAACTGCTTTTAAATCTTGGCAATGTATGGACTTCCACTTCCAGAATTCCCCAATCCTGTAAGATGTGTGGAAGTCCCAGAACTGCCAGTGTACTGGTTGGATCAACCTCTCTGTACCTTGTCTGTACACAGTTGCTTAGCAACTGAAAGCTATTTGGTTTTCATTCATCTCCCCAGGCGACAGCAGAAGCTCGTTTGAACATATAAAGCTCTGATGTCAGTGGTGGGTTTCAAAAATTTTTTACCACCAGGTCACTGGGTGTGGCTCGGTGGGTGCACTTTGCGCGCACGCAGAGGGTTTCTGCTGACCTTCTCCTGCAATCCTGCACTCTCCCTGTGTCTCCAACAGCTGACGTGCGGCAAATCCGCTGTGCCGCGTGAAGCAGCTGAGCTTCAAAACCAGGAAATAAAGGACAGGAGGGGGGGGGGGGGGGGGGGGGGGCCCAGCAGCTGATCGTCGGAGCAAACCACTTCACTCATAGATGATCCTCAGAGCTACCGGTTCAGACGAACTGGGCCAAACCAGTAAAATACCACCACTGCCTGATGCATATAGTATTTGGCTAATCGGTGTCTCTCTTCCACCCCCATACTTAAGGTCTGGACTTCAGGCATCCCTTTCTACCTAAGAGGCCAGGACTCAGGTTTAATTGAGGAAGACTACGAGAGTCCCAGGAATTAAGGGAATCCTGGAAAACAACCACCGAGAAGACAATTTTCCTTTTCCATTAGATGAAACTCCTGCAATTTCCTCAAAATGCTGACCTCCCCCCTCAAGGTCATTACAGTTCTCCTCCTCCCAACAGGCAGGTTGAAAATATGATGTAGCCCCCCCACATCTGGAGTAGGGGACAGCGGCACTCAAGGCCATAAATCTGCTAGTCCCTGTTGCTTCTAAAGGAGAGAAGAAACTTCGGTGGGAATAAAAATGTGGATCTAAAGCAGCATTTCTCAAAGTTGGCAACTTTCTGGGAGTTGAATTCTTAAAAGTTGCCGGATTTGAGAAACACCGATCCTAAAGAGTTGGGATAGTTTAAAAAAAAAAAAAACTCTTATAGCAACTTACAGGAGCGGAGTGAGGCTTATTCCGGGGGGTTACATCAGGGCTGGTGGTTGCTGGCCGCCGTCGCTCCGCGCAACGGTGTACACGCTGGTTTTTGCAGGGGCTTACTGGGCTGGCGGAAGCTGAGCGAGGGCACACAGGAACTGTTGGTGGTGAATGAAAAAAAGAAGGTCTGAATCTTCTACAGCAGTGATCCCCAACCTTTTTTATGCCGCGGCCCGGTACCGGCATCAGCTGGGCACCGCCATCTTTTTTTGATGAAAAAGTGCTTCCGGTGAGCTTTCTACCCGGAAAAGCTCACCGGAAGCACTTTTTCATGAAAAAAAGATGGCGGCGCCCAGCAAACCAGCGGCCCGGTAGGACTTGTTCCACGGACCGGGACCGGTCCGCGGACCGGTGGTTGGGGACCCCTGTTCTACAGGGTTGTTTAGCAATACAAGACGTTCATGCTCGTTTGTATGAGCAAGTGTGTGCGTGCACACTCCATTTGTGTGACAGGGAGACACTCAGCCACTTGCATGAAACATACCCTCCCCCTGCCCGCCGTGTCTGCAAAGCCGGAAACGTTGGGAGAACTCAGGCTTATTCAATCAGCCCAACATGACATGCTAAGCCAGGGGAGTAAAATTTAAGGCCCTCAGGTCAGATCTGGCCTGCGATATGGTTGAATGTGGTCTGCGGGGCTGTCCAGGTCTACCCGATGCGAAGAGGAAACATGCCAGCAGTTTGGGAACTGGCATCAAACTAGCCATGCCGACCCAGTTGGCCACACCCACCCATGGGCGACTGCCCATGCCCCCCTGGACCCGCAAGGTCAACCACAGCCCTGATGCGGCCCTCAATGAAATTGAGTTCGACACCTCCGTGCTAAGCCACAAACAGCCGAACAAGAGTTGTGAACAACAAACGGTTCATAAACGTAACAGCTGAGTTCACGGAACACAAGCTAAACCTAACAAATCAACATAACGATGCAAACAGGCTGATGCTGTTGCAAACGCAATCATTCCTTTGGCATCATCGAGGCTTGCTTCCCACCCTCCTCTCAATAACATTTTAGCCCCCGTAGATCCTTCTGCTTACCCTGTTCCTTCCCATTGCCGGCTAGCGTCACAGCGCTTCTGCTGCGGGCCAAGAAAGCGAGAGTTGGGGTCATCAGCCGGTCCACGATGCTGCTCTCCCAAGCACTTAGTTGAAGACTACGATCTGGGGAAGGAAAAACAAAGTTTTTGGTTAATCCAAGCTCTGGTAGGTTCAGTTTCCTCCTGGACCAACCTTCCAGTGTTTGGAAGATACAAAGCGCTCCTTGGATTTCTGGTCTGCAGAGGTGTGCAACAACACTAACTTTCCAAATCCCTTCCTCGAAACTTGTGGCTACTACTACTACTACTACTACCACAGTTGCGTTAGGAGAACCAAAGCACTTTCAGGCTGAAAGGATTAACCAGTGATATCACTATTGCCCAGGGGATGCTGAGTTAGAGGCTCCTTTCATGCCCCCATGAAGTGGTACCCATCTTATCTACCTGCAGTTGCCCACTTTCGAACTGCTGCGTCAGCAGGAACTGGAGCAAGGTGATGGAAGCTCACCCCATCACATAGCAGCAACCGAGTCTCAAACACGGGCCTACCAATCATCAGACCAGCATCCTAACCACGTGAGCCTGCGCTCCCCGACTTGTAGCTCAAGGTGCCAAGATGAGATTCTGGTTATCCGAACCAGGTGTGGAAGGCAGGACTGGTCCAAAGGAGCCAGGGTTATGATGTTGGAAGAGAAAAGCTGTGCCCTGCGCCTGTCCAAGGACAGGACATATTGATTATACCTAGTCCCCGACTTACAACCACAATTGAGACCCAAATTTCCTTCACTAAGCAAGACAGTTGTTAAGTTTTGCCCCTTTTTACGACCTTTTTGCCACAGTTGTGAAGTGAATCCCTGTAGCTTTTAAGTCAATCAGTCATTAAGCAAATCTGGCTTCACTTGTTGGAAGCTGCCCAGGAAGGTTACAAATGGTGATCACATGACTCCAGGGTGGGCTAGTGCAACCGACCTAAGTACCTGCCAGTTGCCATGGGTCCAAATTTTGATCATGTGACCGTGGGGATGCTGCAATGGTCATAAGCCTGAAAATCAATCACTAGCCACTTTTTCAATGCTGTTGTAACTTTGAATGTTCACTAAATGAACGGTTGTAAATCAAGGACTACCTGTGTTCCATTCTAACTGATGCACTTGTTAAGACTTATATCTTCCCTTTCCTCCTGCAGCTGAAGTCAACCTACTAGCTCTCTCTATGGCTCTTATTCCCAATAACAGCAACCCTGCAGGGTAGGTTGTGCTGAAAGGGAGTGAGTGGTCCAAAGTCCAGGAAGGGCTGGCCATGGCAGAAGGTGGGACCCAGCTCAAGCATTCTGGCCCTTTCCTAGCCCCCTGCCCCCACACATGAACAGTCTTCCAGTAGCTTAACCCATAATCTTTCTACAAGAGATGGTTTTAGATCTTTGGCATGACGTAGTTTTGCTTGCAACTGCCTTACATGGGTGTGACAAAAAGAAAATAAGGTATGAAGGTGAGAAAGGGTGTCCGCACTCATTCTGAGTCTACATCTGCCTACGTCTCTCAACAGATTAATTCCTGATAGATTGCAGTTCTTGGTAAAAAGTGGGTCGCAATCCAGATTGGGACAATTTGATTGATGGAATCCAATCCAAGATGGACTTTGCCATCTCCTTCCTTTTGCTCCCTCTTCATATTTCTAAAGGAGTGTTTCTCAACATCAGCAACTTTAAGATAGGTGGACTTCAACTCCCAGAATCCCTCAGCCAGCCATGGCCGAGGGATTCTGGGAGTTGAAGTCCACCCGTTGTAAAGTTGCCAAACTTGAGAAACATTGTCCCAGAGCAGCGGGCTCCAACCCTTCCACCAACCAGGCAATAAAGATTTATAGATTTTAAAAGATTTAGGTGGGGAAAACCAGGTTCAAATCATAGTTGGTCCTGAAACTTCATTGGCTGTGTTCACATAGAGTGGAGGTCTCCAAATGTGGCAACTTTAAGACTTGTGGACTTCAACTCCCAGAATTCTGGGAGTTGAAGTCCACAAGTCTTAAAGTTGCCAAGTTTGGGGACCCCTGACATAGAGATATCCAGCCTGTACTGAGCAACTAATGGTTTTTGAGAAGTGGCAACCCAATTCTGCTCCCAGCATTTTGTGTGTATAAGATCATTGGCAATACAGATGTTGGAGAGTCAAAAAAAAGTCAAGATGGCAACTGTAACGGTAACCATCTTGATCCTCCCTATGAATGCTTGTTTGTTTGTGTTATTGCTTGATTCCAGCCAAAGTATTGAAAGAACATTGTGTAGGACTCATAATCTCCCAATAGTTGCTTGTTCCTGTTATATTAAATGATGTATTCAGTTGCACTAAACTGGTAAATAAACTAAGATTAGCTGATTTACCTCCCTTTGTCCTGAATGTGTAGCCAGTTTCTCAGTCTCTAATAATTCCATTGGCTGTCCAAACAAACTACTTTAAAGCTGGCACACTCCGGGAGATTAAAGGAACATTGTAATAGTTGCATAGCAAACTACTTCTTGACATTTTGGGTATGGCTGATAATTCTGCAAACAATGTTGACGCTCGACTGACGTTACAAACCACCTTTGCCTGAAAAACCTTCAGCTTTGTAGATTCTGCCAGAGGAAGTGACTTGCAATAAACACAAATATGAACAATGGGAGGTTGAAATAGCAAATGTGGCTAATCATGGCCAGGAATATCCCACACCCTATCAGTGGGAAACCTTTTCATTCGAGAGCTAGCTGGGATTCCAGCATTTTTCTGAACAAGCTTGTTTTCAGTGGGTCTGGAGAACAGAATATAAAGGGGATTTTAATGCTCTTTACTACTTATGTTATTGGTCTAAGGAGCTTGAAAGCTTGGGTCAGAGGAAGATGGGATGTATTTTATTTTAATATATTTTATTCTGTGTGCCTATATATTTATCTTAACATACAGGTAGTCGTCGACTTATGACCACAATTGAGTCCAAAATTTCTTTTGGTAAGCAAGACATTTGTTCAGTGAGCATTGTCCCATTTTATGACCTTTCTTGCCACAGCTGTTAAATGAATCACTGCCATTGTTAAGTTAGCAGCAAGATTGTTAAGTGAATCTGGCTTCCACATTGACTTTGTTTCTCAGAAGGTCACAAAAGGTGCAGGACATTGCAACCGTCATAAAGGTGAATCAGTTGCCAAGCATCCAACTTTTGATCACATGACCATGGCAATGCTGCTGTGGTTGTAAGTGTGAAAAACGGTCATAACTAACTTTTTCAGTGCTGTTGTAACTTCAAACAGTCACTAAAAGAACTGTTGTAAGTTGAGAACTACCTGTATTTTATTTTTAAAAAGTGGGATCTGTTTAATAAATTTTAATGGGTTTGAACAAAAGAGTCAAACTATCATTTCAATGTTTTATGTTTGTGGGGTTGTTTTATTTTTTGGTTTGTTGACCCCTGCTCCTGTTTGAATTGAAAACCAACCAAAATCACAGATATGAGGTGGGTGGCTATATACATTGATAAATAAATAAATACAAACATAATTTTAGATTTATAGGCTTGCTTAATTTGGCTTGGTCACTGATACCTTCCTATACATTAATCTCAGCATTACGAGATTGCAGAGTTGTGGGTTTTGTTTTTTTACCTAAAAAGGCCAATTTTTAAAAATAAATAAAGAAAAAGTTGTCAAATCTTTCTCTTGGCATCCATACGTACCTATGAGCACACTGCTGTCTGAATAATTTCACGTCAGGACCGCACCTAATTCCACATGCATTAACCATCCCTTCCGTTGGCCTTTTCCTGAATCTTGTTCAGATGCTCAGGATATTTTTTCATCATCGCTAAGCAACGAGGAAACAAAACAATGGCGGGCAGAAATACTATCTTTAGCAGCAAAGAGACATTAGGGCAGGGCGTAATTGGAGCCGGTCGAACTCAGCGCTGTAGGATCTGCGTGCAAGGACCAAGTGGGTAAAATTTCCCCTCAATGGAGAGATAGCTCCACAGGAGGGTCAAGGTGCTTTTCAGATTGAACACCTGGGAAGTGTCATGCAACACACCTGGAGGACATTAGAAGGTGCTCTCCTATTTTGTAGTGTCTGTTGTCGACCTCACCATCACTGCAGGGGTCAAAGTAAACTAGGCTTATTAATATCCCACACAGTTTATACTTTACATTTTATGGGAAATTCCATCTTACTACTTCATAGTGCTTTTAGCATTTCAGCTGAGGCCCTTTGCAAAGAGCCGCTCCAGAAACATACAGCTAGGAAGAGGAGGGTCATTGCAAAGGTCCCGTGGTTTGGGACCAACTAGACCAGTTTGGTCTAGTGGTTAAGGCAGCAGGTTAGAAGCCAGGAGGCTGTGAGTTCTAGTACCAGCTTAGGCATGAAAGTCAGATGTGTCAAAGTCACACATCTCTCAGACCAACTCACCTCACAGGGTTGTTGTTGTGGGGAAAATAGGAGGAAGAGAAGTATTGTATATGTTTTACTCCTTGAGTTAGTTATAAAAACAATAAAGGTAGGATATGAGCTGTGATGGCCCAGTGGTTAGAATGCAGTATTGCAAGCTAACTCTGCTCACTGCCAGGAGTTCGATCTTGATGGGGCTCAAGGTTGACTCAACCTCCCATCCTTCCGAGGTCAGTAAAATGAGGAGTCAGATTGTTGGGGGGAAATATGCTGACTCTGTAAACTGCCCAGAGAGGGCTGTAAAACACTGTGAAGAAATATATAAGTTTATTTACTGTATAAATAAACAAGCAAACAAATAAATTAATAATGGTTGAAGTACTGAACAGGGATTCACATTTCTGCCAGCTGTGCCCCAACGTGACCTAATGGGTGAAATGAGGGAGAAACAATATTTGCTTCTTGAAAAGGATCACTGGGAACTCTGATGCAAAGCATTTTGAGCATCCCAAACACTCCCCCTCCGTGCAAAAGCGATTTCCTGCTCTGCCCTCCTCCCCACAAACAGCTGAAAATGCTGGCTAGCAGAACTGCAGTACATCCAAAGAGATTGAAATTATGAGGCTGCTGTGCCCAAAACTAAGGATGTCAACCATTTTAGCTTTTTGAGGAATTACTGTGTCTCATTTGTATTTCTATAGCTGTCTGGTTTGACATAGCAACCAAACAGGACAGGTACAGACTTCAACGGATAGTTAGGACTGCAGAAAAACCATTGCAGACAGCCTGCCTTCCACTGAGGGACTGTATACTGCCTGGGTCAGAAAGAGGGCTGAGAAAATATCTACAGATATTCTGCTGTCTGAACCTTATGCTCAAGCTTTGGTCTTCCTTACACCCCAGTTGATTACAGATAACAGGTAGTTCTCAATCACAACTCATTGCTTATTAGCCATTTGAAGTTATGACACCCCCCCCCCCAAGACATACTTCTGACCCAGATTTGAAGTTCTGATGGCTGCACTACTCTTCCCCACCCCGCCAGTCATCTGATGATAATTTGGACATTATGCAAGTGGCCCACATTTCCGACACTTTGCTGTGGCCTCTTATCACATGAGTGTGATTTACAATAGTTTCCTGAAAAGAAAAAAAAACCCACCCTATTGCACACAACACTTTTGGTTTATGACTGTGGTATTCACTTAATGACTGTGGTATTCACTTTACAACCACCATTAAATTCACTTCATGTCCTCTGTAAAAAAAATTTAAATTAAATTGGGTCAGTCATACGATGACCTGCTTACCAGTTGGCACAACGTAAGATCTTTAAAGTTAAGCTGTTAAGTCAAGGACTACCTGTACATGGAGTTAAAAACATGCTTCACATGTGTCCTGTAATTAATTCATCATACAAACCAAGGTTGGAAGCCACACTAAGTCTCCAGTGCCCGCTAGAATCTGAAGTTTGATGTGTGTGTGCGTGCGTACACCATCCTGTTCTGTCGATCAAACAGCAAAATGCTTCAGACCGCTTTGCATCTCTAACAGTTATATAAAATCAACCAGTTCAAGAAAAATGTCCATATTATGCTCTTAACCAAAATGCTGAAATGATTTGGCACTGCCTCATTCCAGGATAGGTTTTTTTTTTCCAACTTTATAGTCTAGCTGCCTATAACCCTGAGCTCTCCTGTTGGTCTCTCCTTCAGTCTTTTCAAGTTCTGGCAATATCTCCTTATGCTACCACTATTTTGGGACATAGTTATATGGAAGGTGGGCAAAGAGAGAGTGTTCTTCCTGTTTGATCTCGAGGGAAGGCAGATAATGAAATTCTCTCAGACGTTCATCATCCTTTTGATCAGTTGCTGAATTTCAATGCTGCCACTATATTTCCTTCTTTTTATCTACTGCAGCATTCATCTGTTTACACGTTGAGCTTTGCATTCAGTTCTTTTGTTTGTTAAAAGCACTTTGAAGAGCTGGCATACAAAAAAGAAGAAGACCACAAATAGACTGCAACCAAGGTATCAACAAACAGACCAGGCTGGGCAGTGAAACCTGGGACACGTCCATGACAATTCACCAGGCCAACAAACTATGGCCAACTCGCTGTGGAACAATTCACTTTGGACAAGAGTTACACTAATATCAAAGAAATGGTGAAATAGAATCATTAAAGAAGGGATGAAAAGGGAGGGACAAAAATGGAATGTGAATCACAAAAATTTAAAAAAAATTAATTTATTTTGAACAATTAAATTGAATTTTTAAATTGTCCCGCAGCAACTTAGCTGTGACGAGTTGGCCGCAGCAAGTAGTCCCATTCCAACCTGGGACTGATGATTGAGAGACAAAAAGAAAGAAAGAAAGAAAGAAAGAAAGAAAGAAAGAAAGAAAGAAA